TAGTAACCAAAACAGCATGTATTGATATAAAAGCAGACACATAGACCAATGGAACAGAATAGAGAACTCAGAAATAAATTCACATATTTATAGCCAACTGATTTTCAACAAAAGCACCAAGAACATACAGTGGGGGAAGGGACAGTCTCTTTAATAAATGGTGCTGGGAAAACTGGGTAACCAACCATATGCAGAAAAATGGTATTGGTAGATTTTGTCTGTGTGCTTGAGTTGATTGTAACGCATGGGAACTGGACAGCTAACTCCCTAATTAGCATTAATATTTTCCCAGAGATTATTTGGCTGTCAAAGTATAGTAAGAAAAAGACCTAAAATAGGGTCCAGAAGTCTGATAGAGAAATACAGGTGAGGCTGGTGTGGTGGCTCACACCTATAATTCCAGCACTTTGGGAGGCTGAGGCAGACAGATGGCTTGAACCCAGGAGTTTGAGACCAGCCTGGGCAACATAGTGAGATCCTGTCTGAAAAAAATTAAAAAAGAAAAAAATAGAAATACAGGTGAGAGGGAGAAGCAGCAGGACAAAATGTGTAAAATAGAAGAGACCTTTTGATAGAAGTGATAGAAAAGGAAAGACAAACCTATGGGCTGGGAGCATCAAGAAGACATTAAAGGGATTGGGGTGATAGGAGAGGCCCAGAGAGACACTGCATCCTGCCCTGGTTAACCCGGGCGGACCCTGCAGGATCAGGTGGCATGCTTGCACCCTGCTTCTCCTGCTGTACACCCCCGTGAAGAACTTTCTTGATACTCTGTTAGTAACTGGGCACATCCCCTCCGGGAGCTTGCCATGACTCATTCCTGTGGCCCCACTGCTCGACTCTGCCTGTTTCATGACAGCCTCAGATGTCTTGGGTGAGAAGAGTCCTCCAGGAGACGTGGGCTGAGCACTTCCCTCCAGAGGCCCCATATGTAGCTGTGGATGGGGGCCTCTCAGTCTTTCAGCCTCTCCTCGACAGGGCCAGCCCTGCCCTGGCTCTTGGGACCCCACCCTCTCTGGACTGCTCACAACCTTTAACCTTTAGAGGACTCTTCTTTCTCCTGTGTGATTCTCTCCCTTTCTACTGCTGTAGGAACTTTCATGTCAGGAAATATGCCCAGTTGGGCCCCTGGCCCCCACTCTACCTACTGCTCCATTCATTTGCTCTTTTATGCCACCTTTGTCAGCAGAGCTGTCAGGACACACTGTCTGTTTTGTTGCCTGTCCTCTGAAGCTGCCTTGGACTTACATGTGTTGAGGGGCGTGTTAGAGGACTTGGCCAGAAATTTGCTACCAGTCTCTGGGCATTTAGTTGCTTCATAGTGCGGGGTCGGGATGTGCCTCTGACTTCTTGTCTTGCTCCTCTGGAGTAAAACACAGCTCTTCCCAAACTTTCTGAAGCAGTCATCAGCAGCCACAATTTGTTAATTCCATTTGTTTCCTGAATCTCACCCTCTCCAGGAAGCCAGCCTGCACCCCACCGGCCCCTGCTCCCATCCCCCTTCACTCTGCTCTCTTTTCCCGTGCGTATCACTCACGTAGTGTGATATATTTGCTACATTGATTATTGTCTGCTTCCCCCTGCTAGAATGTCAGCTCTACAGAAGTGGGGATTTGTCTCTCTCTCTCTCTTTTTTTTTTTTTTTTTTAACTGTTCTGAGGCTTCTAGATCAGTGCCTGGTACCTAGGAAGCACTTAATAAATATTTGTGGAATGAGTGAAAGCAAGGCAAAAATCAATACAGAGTATTATGGAGGCTTTTGACTCACAAAAAGGAATCTGAGTATCTCAGAATAACCCTCTTCCCACTCACCCTGTCCTACCACCTGTCTGTCACAGAGATGGCACCACCGTTCTCCCTCCTGTACAAACCATGTTCTGTTGTTGATTATCCTTTACCAGTATGTCCAGTTGAATCTGTCTAAAATACCTGGAATATATTGCTTCTCTCTTTTTCTCCCTACTGCCACCACTTTAGTTCAGGCCATCTTTAGCTCTCCCCTGGTCCACAGCAAAAACGTCCGGACCAACCTGCCCATGTTCCTGTTGCCTTCTTAGTCCCTTCTCTGTGGGACAGCCAAGTGAGTGGTCACTTAGGGTTTTGGCTCGCTGCTGTACAGTGACGCAAACAGAATAGAAGTTTATTTCTGTCTCAGTAACAGGTCAGAGGTGCAGGGTCTAGAGCTATCACGGTAGCTGTACATAAGCTCATCCAGGGAACTGGGTTACTTCCATGTGGTTCTTCTACCAGCTTCTAGGGATGTTGTCCTCTGCTGTGTGTCCTCTGCTGTGTGGTCACCACCACCATGTCCAAAATTCAGTTGGGGGAAAGAGGAAGTAGAAAGCAATTTTCTTTTTTTAAAGGACAATGCCCGGAATTATGGTCATTGCTTTCTATCACATGCCATTGGCTGAAACTTAGTCTCGTGACCAGACCTTGTCATGGGGGATCTGGAAAATGTAGTCTTCCCAGGTGACCATCTGACCAGCAATAACTCTAGGGGTTCTATTATTAAAAGGAGGAAGGGGAGAGTGGACTCTGGAGGTTACACAGCAGTCTCAGCCACATGTAGAGCGGATCACACATAACATGCCCCTACTTGATACCCTTGGTGGCTTTCCACTGTACGTGGAGAAAAATTCAAACTCCTTACCATGCATATCCAGCCCTGCGCGATCTGGCCTCTGCCGCTTTCACCAAGCCCTTTCCTGTTTTACCTTATCTCTCTTCATCTGGCCAGTACTTCTCATCCCTGAGTTCTCTGCGCAGGTATCTCCCAGAGAGGTTGCCCCTGTCATCCCCCAGCCATGGTGGCTTCTGTCATTGTGCTGATTTTGTTTGTTTTCTTGTTGTTTTATCCAGTGACCCCACTAGAATGTCATCTCCATAAAAAGCGACCACATTTGTTTTGTTCACTGATATGTCCCACCTCTGCTACAGTGTTGGGTGCAGATGCATTGAAGTCTTGTTTGATTCATATTGATACTTGTGCTTTTTTTTTTCCCCTTCTAGGACACGAGAGACTTCCTAAACAGGTAAGAGTCTTCTCTGCACAGCGCACCTCATCCCCCTTGTTTATGTTCCCTCCCCTTCTGACCAGGTCCATTTGAATCATGGGGAATGGTGTGGTGCCAGAGGTACTCACATCCCATGGTTCATCCTGATGCCCTTCTGAGGAGCAGGACACATCCTTGAGAACTGGAGACTTGCTCTCCTCCTTGTGAGTTCTCTGTGTAACCCCAGCTCCTTGGCCCACTGGCCTTATTTGAGGTGGGACAGAACAGAGAGGTTAGAAACATGGCTTAGGAGACAGAGCGCCCTGGATGTGGAGTCTACTGATGGTCTGAAGCCCTGGCTCAGCTGGTGTCTTTGGGCCATTGTTTTTCTGTCACTTGTCTGGGGACAATCATACCTTTCCTCTCCCCTTCATAATTGCCATGAGGATTGAGAGATAAGTATGAAGGAAAGTAAGAAGAGCTGAGTAACAGGTTGTTACGTCTGTCATCTTCTCAGGTATCCACGGAAGAAGTTCTGGGTTGGGAAACCCATCGCTCGAGTGGTTAAAAAAAAGACCGGAGAATTCTCAGATAAACTCCTCTCCCTGCAGCGAGGCCTGAGGGAATTCCAGGGTAAGGGTTGGGGAGCGCACAAAGGGTGGGAGTCAGAGCAGGGCTACCTCGTAGAAAGAGGGCAGCCAGCTCCTTTCCATCACCTTGTCGAGTCTCACTCTTCTGAGGGCCTCCTGCCTTAGAAATGGATCCCTATCAGGAAATTGATACCGCCCCAGCAAGAAATGGGCTCGTGCATTTGCGGGACTTGAGTCATTGCTGTCCTTTTTTCTCCCCAGGGAAGCTGCTGAGAGACTTGGAATATAAGACAGGTGAGTGTCGAGAGGGTGGTTCCCAGATGTACATCAAATATAGAAAACTCTGCCTGCAGAGATTCTGACTGCCCACTTTTTCCCCAGGTAGCCCCTTTTGCAACAGGAAGAATTTCCCAGCTGCACAGTAGAAGCCCCCCTCCCTCCTTGCACTTTCTAATCGGCCTACTCTTTAGTCTACTGAGGCCTCTGCTTGCTAGTCTGACCCTTCTCTACCCTGTGTTTGCTTTTCCTTTTCCTATTCTCACAGGTCCTATCACCAGTCCTTTTCCTGTGGTTGAGCTTTCTCTCATCTTCCTGTCTGCATGGCTGCTATATTCAGAGCAAACAGCAGGGGCAACCTAAGGCCAGAGGCCATATCCACCAGAGGCCCCACTACTGTGCTTCCTCTCAGCCCTGCAGTTAGGTTGTACACTGCATACCAACCACCAAAGAGCACCATCCACATAGACCAAGATGGGAGTGGTGCCCCTTGGATTGTGAGGACTGGTGGTCTCCTCCTGGCCCACTTTCACACTTGCATTCCTGAGAACCACTGAGGAGGTCGAACTGTCTGGGAGCAAACGAGGCCCTGAGAGCTCCATCTAGTTCACAGGATAAAATCCCACAGCAGAACTGAGTTAGCAGTGGTTAAACCTTAGGTGGTTGTAGCTTCTTTATTAATGTCTGAGCTGTCTGTGAATACCATCAAATTCTACCCGTCAGGTGATTCTAATTATAGAGAATCCTGAGGATGACGGTGAGGATTATCCCACTCTCAGTACATGTTCAGGGTTTCTTGAACCATCTTACAGAGCAGCCTGGTGGTTTTGAAACTGAAACTGAACAGTTTGCAGAGACGCTGAATGCCTGTATTACAATAGATGATGCTTTGCAAGAACTTGTGGAACTCAGAGGACACATCTGTCCCAAATTTCTTTTTTTTCTTTTTTCTTTTGAGATGGAATCTTGCTCTGTCACCCAGGCTAGAGTGCAGTGACGCGATCTCGACTCGTTGCAAGCTCTGCCTCCCAGGTTCACACCATTCTCCTGCCTCAGCCTCCCAAGTAGCTGGGACTACAGGCGCCCGCCACCATGCTTGGCTAATTTTTGTATTTTTAGTAGAGATTGGGTTTCACCGTGTTAGCCAGGATGGTCTCGATCTCCTGACCTTGTGATCCACCCGCCTCGGCCTCCCAAAGTGCTGGGATTACAAGCGTGAGCCACTGTGCCTGGCCCCAAATTTCTCTTATATGGGAGCTTGCCTGTGTAATTACCTGGCCCATCATCTGACAGCACATAGAGTAGCACCTTCCGCAAATTTCTACTTCAAAGATGTTGGACTGAGTATGACATTAAAGATCAAGCTGCAAAAAGGGATGAAGTTACTCCAAAACAATTTCGTGCATTGGTACCCTTTCTGGGAGAGCTTTATCGTAACCTGGAGATCAGAGGAACAAATGGACAGGTTACAAGGGCAGATATTCTTCAGGTTGGTCTTTGGGAGTTGCCGAATGCCTGAATGCCCTCTTTTCTAATCCCATGGATGACAGCTTAATTTGTGCAATAAAATTGCTGAAGTTGACAGGGTCAGTTTTGGAAGATGCTTGGAAGGAAAAAGGAGGGACTGATATGGAAGAAATTATTCAGGAAATTGAAAATGTTGTTATAGATGCAAACTGTGGCAGAGACATGAAGCAGATGCTCTTGAAGCTTGTAGAGCTCCAGTGCAGTAACTGGGGTAGAGTCCATGCAACTTCATCATGCAGAAATGCAACACCCGAAAAAGATCCCAACTGCTATGTGAATGAACTAGCATTTTATACATCTCATAGTTTTCGTTTCACTGCAGCCAATCCAGATTCCCAAGAGGCATATCAGGAGTTACTTGAAAAAGAGGACTTTTTTTCTAGATTATGAAGAAAGTGAAACAGATTTATCAGGGGCTGGTGATCCACACTTGGATGATATTGATGATGAGTTGGACCCAGAGATCCAGAGATAGAGGAAGCTTATGAAGTTTTGTTTGGAATCAGAGCGTAAGCGAAAACAGTAAAGTTAAATTTCAGTATATCATGTTTATAAAGCAGTTTAGTTATGGTGATTTAGCAGAATACAAAGCCAGAAAATGTGTCACACTTATACCAAATTAAGGATGTTACGTTACTAATATATGCAACTTTAATTTTGTTTAACACTGTCTGCCAAAATAAATTGTATTCCCTCTAACTTAAAAAAACAAAATAGTGATGTTGTTTGTTTTTTTTTCCCCTTGTCCCCACAGTGAGTGTCACCCTGGACCCACAGTCGGCCAGTGGGTACCTGCAGCTGTCAGAGGACTGGAAGTGCGTGACCTACACCAGCTTGTACAAGAGCGCCTACCTGCACCCCCAGCAGTTTGACTGTGAGCCTGGGGTGCTGGGCAGCAAGGGCTTCACCTGGGGCAAGGTCTACTGGGAAGTGGAAGTGGAGAGGGAGGGCTGGTCTGAGGATGAAGAAGATGGGGATGAGGAGGAAGAAGGAGAAGAGGAGGAAGAGGAAGAGGAGGCCGGCTATGGGGATGGATATGATGACTGGGAAACAGACGAAGATGAGGAATCGTTGGGCGATGAAGAGGAAGAAGAGGAGGAGGAAGAGGAGGAAGTTCTGGAAAGCTGCATGGTGGGGGTGGCCAGAGACTCTATGAAGAGGAAGGGAGACCTCTCCCTGCGGCCAGAGGATGGCGTGTGGGCACTGCGCCTCTCCTCTTCTGGCATCTGGGCCAACACCAGCCCCGAGGCCGAGCTTTTCCCAGCACTGCGGCCCCGGAGAGTGGGCATTGCCCTGGATTATGAAGGGGGCACTGTGACTTTCACCAACGCAGAGTCACAGGAACTCATCTACACCTTCACTGCCACCTTCACCCGGCGCCTGGTCCCCTTCCTGTGGCTCAAGTGGCCAGGAACGCGCCTCCTGCTGAGACCCTGAACCCTGACATCTGCCCCTGGCCCCACACCCTCAGATGCTTCACTTCTTTGGAATTCCAGGACTCTCAGTGGGGGGAAGGGATGCCTGGCCTGAGCACCTGGAGTAGGGGACCCCATATCCACTGGCAGCCACCTTCCCGTCGCTCTGGCCCCCTGAGGTCTCACTCAGTGCTGTTGCTCCATCTACTGCCCTAACGGGGCTCTTCTCCCACCTCCTGCTAGTTTCCCGAGGGAACTTCTGGCCCTGGAGTCCATGAGGGCTCCTTTCCTTTTTGACCACTACCTTGGCCCTGGCTCTGCACTCTCTGTGGAGTAAGGGCCTGACACAGCATTTTCTTGCCCACCGTGGCAAGACCTTGGAAAAACCAGTTGATTATGCCTAAGATCATTTTGCTGTCCTTAAACCCTACAGGTTCCTTCTTGCACAAATCCACTCTGCTGCCCGCCTTCCCTGGCGTTTTAAACAGACCGACCCCACCCCATCTCAGAGTTAAGCATACACGGCAATGCTGAAAATAAACAATGAAAATCCACTGAGGCTTCCCAAGCCATTTAAGGCCTGGAGTACCAGCGCATATCATCTCATGGGGTCCAGAGTGGAGTCCAGGCTTCTCTGAAACCAGGGCTGAGCATATTTCCATAGCCAAGGATGTGGGACTCCCTGGAGCTATCTGTGGTCTTAGAGAAGGATCCAGACATACACGGCTTTGGGGTACCAGCTGTGATCACTGATCAATAAATTATCTCTGGATTGGTCCTTGTGGGGGGAGTTTTAAGAATCCAGAACATCTTGCTCTTGATTAGCACATCCAAAAACACCAAGACAAATATCCAGTGGAACAGAACCTCCCCTGCCTGGGTAGTTCTGACCACGTTCCCCAGCAGGGTGTTAATCCACTGTCCCTGGCCCTGCTCAGCCTCCAGGTTCCACTTTCCTAGGAGAGAGAGGAGATGGGAAGACAGGGAAAGGAAGGCAGCAGGAGGCCACAAGTCCACCGGGTCTTCATGTCAAGAGAGGGAGTAACGTGTCTCCTCATTGCCCACGGACCCAGCCTCTGTCCAGGCGCCCCTCATGGCCACAGTTTAACACAAGCTCCCCTGCTCCAGCCAAATTGATCTCCCAGTCTTGACCTTACCCATTCCAAATGCTCTGCCAGTCCCTGTTCATCCAAGTTTTAAGTCCTCCACCCTGTTGTAAGAGACTGTTCCGGGTCTCAGTGGTCTCTTGACCACCATTGTCTCAGAGCTGCCCACTTTGTGTGTGCCACATGCTGCCTGAGTCACATGTACATCTTATTTCTGCCTCTAGTTTTGTAAGCTCCTGGAGGGCGGATAACATCTTATACTACTCTTGTATTCTGATGGCACCTAGTGCAGTGCTGGGCACAGAGTAGGTGCTCAATAAAGACTTGTTGAATGAATGGTCTGGAAATGTGTATCTGTAGGATCTATATTGTATCTCAAATGCCATCAGACCTCAGTCTGGCTACAGAGAAATTCCATTGATAGCAGTAGCCGAAGGTTTTCCTCTTGTACCTCCTGTAACTGTGTAACTTTGCTTTCTGTTCTCTGTTTGCACACGTGCTGTCATTTCTGGAAGTCCCTCAAAAAGAGCCTACTGCGGGACACAGACCATTTGTTGTGTGTCTCCACCTTGTTATTCCTCCTGCGGTGGTGCCCTTGAGCTGAGGTCCAGCATTTTGGAGCAAGTGATGACTCTCCCTGAGAAGGGAGACATCCAATATAGCACCCCCAAAATTCTTCCTTGGAAAATAAGCACTGCCCCAGAGGAAATAGAATGTGCAGCCTTGCCTCCTAACACAGTCAACTGTTTTTCTTGTCCTTTCTGATTTTTTTTTTTTTTTTTTTGAGACGGAGTCTCGCTCACCCAGGCTGGAGTACAGTGGCGCGATCTCGGCTCACTACAAGCTCCGCCTCCTGGGTTCATGGAATTCTGCCTCAGCCTCCCGAGTAGCTGAAACTACAGGCGCCTGCCATCATGCCCGGCTAATTTTTTTTTGTATTTTTAGTAGAGACGGGGTTTCACCCTGTTAGCCAGGATGGTCTCGATCTCCTGACCTCGTGATCCCCCCACCTCAGCCTCCCAAAGTGCTGGAATTACAGGCATGAGCCACCGCGCCCGACAGTCCTTTCTGATTTTTTAAATTGCCATCTTAAAGATGGAAAAGGGAGGATTATACAAAACTACCTGTAAAATTACGCTAGTGGCAAAGAGCATATTTCTTCTCTGTTCTCTCATTTGTGGACTCGTAAGTTTATCCTTTTAATTTTTTATATTCATAGTTTTTAGTTTTTTATAACTATACTTGCATATATGGTAAACTATTTCTACAGTGCTTCTTACAAATAGGCACATTTCCCTGCCCCATTCCTCCCTCCAAAGACCCAGTTCATACCTTTTAGCAAACTGTTTTGTGTTTGCCTTGATTTTTTCTAAATAACTCGTGTTTGGGGGCCTTATCCTCTCATTTCCCACTGTGGAGCAGGAAGATGTAGCCCTCTGCTCTATCATTTATCACACACACAGACATTCTCTTCCATCCATCACCATCCCTTCAATGTGGTTAAACAAGTATTCGGTGTGCTTGTTATTACATCTGTGTAAAAGCTATTCACACCTGGGCTGTGCATGTGGCCACAATCATTTTTCCTTCCTGCAGAATCTTTTGTCTTCCTGGAGTTCCTTTTCCCTTTATGCATCATTTCCTATGTCTTTATTACTTATTGTACTCCAAACTCCTTCACGGTTGTCAAAATCTCCAGGTCCTCATTCACCAGGTGCTCTTACCAGTTTTGTTTTGATGCATCTCTTAAGCCTCCTGGCCTTAAATCTGGAATAGCTGCTTCCTCACCTGTACCTGGCTTCCTGGATATTCCTTCACCATCATACTGGGGGTCCTAGATTGCTTCTGTTTCTTTATCCTATGTTTTCTCTCTTAATTTACTTCATCTTGGAGGAACATTTTCTAGGAGCTTTCTGAGAAATGGTGCATGGAAGTTGAATTTTTAAAATCTTGAATATCTGGAAATATCTTTATCCCGCTTTTATACTTAATTATGTTCCTTAAGTTTAGGATTCATGGTTGAAAATAATTTTCCTTCAGAATTTCAAAAGCATTGCTCCACTGCCCTCTGGCATCCTTTGTTGTTGAGAATTCTTGTGACGCCCTGAGTTCTGATCCTTTGTATATGGTCTGTTCTTTGTTTTTGTTTTTTACCGGAATCTTCGGGCCTTGTCTGTGTTCTTACTCTTCTCCTCCTCCTCCCCTTCCTCCCTTCTCCTCTCTCTGTGGTCCCCCTCCTTTTGTCTTTTAGAGACAGGGTTTCACTCTGTCATCAGGCTTGAGGGCAGTGGTGCAGTCATAGCTCACTGTGGCCTCAAAGTCCTGGGCTCCAGTATTCCTCCCACTTGAACCTCCCGAGTAGCTACAGGAGCATGCCACCACACCCGGCTCATTTGTTTATTTTTTGTAGAGACGGGTCTTCCTCTGTTGTCCAGGCTGGTCTCAAGTGATGCTCAGCCTCCCAGTGCATTGGGATTGGACGCATGCGACTCCATGCCCTTACTCTTAGATTTCTTGATGTGACTTTGTATGAGCTTTTCCCTCCGTTGTGCTGGTTAAATCAGTGGGCTCTTTCATTCTGGAAACGTATAGCTTTTCAGTTTCATTCTAGAAACGTTTAGCTTTTCAGAATAAAATTTCTGGGAAATTTTGTTGAATTATCATTAGTATTTTTAGGATGTAGTCTTGCTCTTTTGTCCAGGCTGGAGTGCAGTGTTGGGGTCAGAGCTCACTGCTGCCTAGAAACTCCTGGGCTCACGTGATCCTCCTGCCTCAGCCTCCTGACTAGCTGGGATTACAGGCTTGAGCCACCACAACTGGCTGAATTTTTATTATTTTAGAGATACAATCTTGCTCTGTCACCTAGGCTCTAGTTGTGGTGCACTCGTAGCTTACTGTGGCCTTGAACTCCCAGGCTCAAGTCATCCTCCCACCTCAGCCTCCCGAAGTGCTGGGATTACAGGTGTGAGCCACTGCGCCCAGCCTGAATTATTTCTTGTTGACTTTTCCCCCTGTTTTCTCTGTTCTCTGAAATCTGTTATCTCTAGGCTTCATATGTCTCCTGAATTCGTTTATTAAGTGCCCGTGATGTGCCAGGATGTTTCTAGGTTACAACAGTGCTAAGTTTAACAACGTTTCTGCACTCATGGAGTTTATATTACAGCAGATGGTGACAGGCAATACGTTAAAATTGAAAACAAAGTAATTAGTACTATGCAGGAAACTGA